AGTCTCTTAAATTATCAAGCATCAAAATCTTTTAAATTATCATGCACATTTAAAAAAATTAAATATCAGGTAAGCTTAAAAGAAAGTGTTTGATTGTGTGTGAGTATTGTGCTTTTTGTCCTTACCAGTTCATCTTTAAAGGTGTCATCTTTAAGACTGTCTTCTTTAAGACATTTAAGACTGTCATCTTAAATTAGGAATATGAACTATTCATCCACCGAGGAATAACATGTATTAAGAAAGTAAATATAGGTTGATAAATAAAACCTTACACATCTCTTAGGCACAGATGAAGCCTGCAGAATAAATACAGAAAAGGTGCAGAACAATGCCATCAATTCACCAAGAACTTCCTGTTAGATATCACCTTCCAATGTGCCATGAAAATCCTTTTTTGTTGTTGTTTTTTTATGAACCTGGTATAATATTTCAGATTCTTCTCCAGGGACTTACAGTGTTGCTCTGAGCAACCAGGGAGAGCCAAGGGATTTAATTAAAGCAACATCATCTGCTTTGTCTGTCATAGAATCATCTTTAAAAAACAAAAGGCAAGCAAGCTTTATGAATCAAAACCTGAATCAGAACCCAAAAGAACTACCTCAGTCCATGTTGTTGTATACTATCATTTACTTTTTTAGTACATATGTGGTACATTCATAGTTATTTTCCCACTTTTTTTAGCAATTTTACTGCAAGTCTCGCAACATGTGAAGATGTGAGAATCTTAGCCTTCTTTTTATAGAAATAAATTTGTAGGGCTTATGGTTGTGGGAAAGAACTTGCTAATGTGCCCCTTCAAAGACTGAAAGGGGGTGACAAAACAAGAAGCTAAACATTATTATTACCGGTATTTTAAAATTTCATGGCATTTAAGCCCATTTAATGATCTTTCAGACCTGACTAATAATTTTGCAACACTTAGATTTGGCAATACTGCTTTTTTTTTTTCCTTTCATGTGAATGGAGCATACTTTTTAGTTCTATATATCAGGGTCTTTGCTGAACAATGTTTAGCAAAGACAGCATTTGCTTTGAGGAAGGTGTAAGAAAGGTGGATCCAACACAGTTTTGGATTGACAGCAATGGCAGTATTGATCCTTCTGAAGCTTCCTCCCACTATTCATCCATGTACGTATAATATCTAGGCCTCAAAATCGCATGTATCTCTGCTTCTTCTGACTGCTCTGTCCATGCTTCTTGTCCCTTTCATATTCAGCCATTTCTGTCCCTGGGTGTGCCATTCACCTGCTTCTACAACAGTCATCTCTTCTCAGTTTTCAGTCCCATCCATCCCTAAAAAGAGAATGCTCTTCCAGAATTTCCAGGCTACTCTTGCACTCTCAGATCCATCCTTAATCCTCAGTCCTTCCTCAAGACCTATGAGTCAAAGACACCAATTAAAATAATGAAAAAAGAACCTAACCTAGCGCACATCCTTTTTCTCATTAAACCTCTGTTTGTTGTCCTTTGGTTTGTAAGCCCTGCAGGGCAGGGGCAGCGTCTTTCCCTTTATCTTTACAGAGCCTAAAAGATTTGAAGAACTACTCTAATGTAAATAATAACAGTGCTGGTTGCAAGCTGTTGCACGGGGATGACTGATTGGTAGGATAAGTAGCTTGCCTAATGCATACTGCACTTATAACCTGGCCTCACCACCTTTCCCATCTGATTCTGGCTTACGATAAAATGTTGTTTGACTGGCTCTGGGAACAACTCCATTCTGGAGCTGGGTGAAACAGGCTAGGGATCACACAAATGCTTTCTATTTTAAAGTGACACAATCTGCAGATACCAGGCCACTTGCATTGAAATTTGCAGCCTCAATACATGGATATATGCAGATCCCAGGAGTCCTGCTAATAATACTGTACTAGTGCTACAGCATGTGACCTTTCTTTTTTGTTAAAAAAAGTATTTACTCTCTAAATCAGAGATTCCCAACCTGTGGTACGGGTACCACCAGTGGTACACAGACAACCTATCAGTGGTACCCATTAATGGATTTATTATAATTATATGACAAAAATTTGCTTAAGGTACTTAAAGCTAAACTGAAAAATGTGCTGTTGGTACTTAAGGTTGTATCATTTTAAACTGGTGGTGCCCAGTCTGTCAGAGATTGGGAACCACTGCTCTAAATGATGATATATACAGGCAGTCCTCTGATTTATGACACAATTGGTTCCTGAAAACTATGTCTTAAGTCAAAACATTGTAACTCAGAACCAATTTTCTCATAAGAATGTATGATAATTAATGTATTTTTATTGTAAATAGCAATCATATTGATTTGGAAGGACTTCTTTGAGGTGACTTTGCTGGACTTTTTGAAGCGCTCTTGGTTGAAGTTTTTGAAGGGTTCTTGGCTGGAGTCTTCTCAGGAGTCTTGGCTGCTTTCGTAAAGAAAGTGTCCAAGGAAGTTTGGACAGATGCTGTTCAGGGAGATGAGCAACACAGCAAACTTGTTTGCTGGCACGGCATGACATGGGTTCAAGCGTTGTAAAGTCAAAACTGAGGTCAGAAAGTTGAAACAGGGTGGCAATTTATAAAAGTTGTAAGTGCAAAATGTTGTAACTCGAAACGTTGTAAGTCGAGGACTGCCTGTACACATCAAATGCTTATCGATACAGAAGACAAGGTTCTTTGGGTAATGTCTCCTGAAGAAAGAGTACTGGTTTCCAGGTATTGTACTTGATCCATCACTGCCTTTGCGTCCATGCTGTGTATTTGCCCATGAAGCACATGACTTAAGCGTGCACAGGTATTCTTAAAGGTCACCGTTACCCACAAAGGAAGCTTGCGGGACCAGACTGGGCCATAAGAACAGGAAAGAGAATCCCCATGATGTATTTTGATTAACAGAGGCTCATTTATTTGTTTAACCCTGAGATGGAAAAAAAATATCCTACCTTCTCCCCCCCCCCCCGCTTTTTTTTTTTGCCTGATAATGTTTTTCTCCCTTGGTGCAGCCCCCTTATTTTCTCCCCCATCCCGGCAGCAGCCCCCAGCCCCCGCTGTGTCTCATGCAGCCCCTCTGGGCCGGGGGAGCCGCTGGACTTGGGGGCGAAGGGCTCGGCTGGAGGCGGGGGGCAGAGCAAGGTGGGGCAGGGCTTGCCCCTCTCCAGCCTGCGGAGCGGGGGCTCGCCTCTGGGACCGGTCCGGGCACGGCCGAGCAGAGCCGGGGGAGTCAGGCCGGGGAGGCTTTTCCTCGGGGTGCTGGGCGGGCTGGGCTGGCACAGGTGGGAGGGTGGCGGCCGCCCGCAGGCTTGGGCCAGGTGCCGCCCCGCGGTCCCGGTGTAAGGTGTGCGTTGTGCGGGGGGGTG